TCTGTCTGAATCTCGATCCACGTACTACACAAACGATACATGTTCTTTACGTAAAAAATAAAAAGACTTTCACAATGAGCTAATGCTAAATAAAGTTTTGGGGATCCTTAAAAAAGTTAAATATGCGTATTGTAACAACAAAAAAAAAAATTGTTTTTTTTTTAACATATTTTTTTAAATATTATCATTTAAGTTGAGGGAAAAAAAACATTTCTAGAACAAATGACTTTTTGAAGATTTGGGATTCGGAATAATTTTTCATTTTATCAATTTTAAAAGCAGCAATCAAGTAATTTTACTCCAAAGCTCATCAAAATTTACATAAAAAACTGGTTATAATAGCATGTTAATGTGAAGATTAGAGCAGGAAGAAAGAAGAAGAAAAACTAAAGCTTTGCTTATTTTTGTCTGCACGATCAAAATAATACTACTCCGATTTTGTACTGAGCTAATACTTTATATTTATGGGAAAAGGCAACGACTAACTTAATCTAACATTTATTAACAGGACAGAACAGTTAACACAAATGAAGAGGCCATCTACCTCGTAAGCTTTCAATCCCATTTGCTGTGCAGGAAGTACATGAATATCTAGCAGCTGGTTTAGTTAACAGGCTAAAAGGTGGGCTATGAGATGCAAAATGAGATGAGCACACACATTTGCATAATACAGTGAGAAAGTATGCTTCCTATATATTTTATGGTAATAGTATTTGAAAAAACATTAAAGAATAATGAGAGCTTACATTTTGTCTCTAAGTAAAGGAGTGTCTGTTGGAGTTCCAACTTCTTTTGATGCTTTCTCAAGAGCTGTGACTGTTAAAAGACAAAGATTACTTATATAATTTGTCAATGCTTCAATAAAATATTAATAAGAAATACAGTAATAAGCATAGCTATTATTTAAAACATAATTTAATCCTCAAAAAAATTAGACATAGATACAGGGTGCGTAGCCAAATTATTCAACAAAAAATAAGCACCTTTTAAGCATTTTTCACTCAAAAAATATTTTTAAGCATTTTAAAAAAATATCATAATCAGGCAGGGTTGGAAAGTTTTTTTAAATTGATGGTTTAATCTTGTTTTAACAGTCATGTCAAAAAAAAAAAAACCTTTTGGCATTGTTTTTGACAATTATCAAAAATCATGAAATTTTGAATCATGTAAAACGAATGGCGTTTTCATACGCTACGGACTGACAATATGCCGAAATAGATTGGGGTTAAATTAATTGTGGAAACGTTGAATAGAACAACATGAACTGTGTCTTTTTGCATAATTCGAAGCGAAAATCAACAAAGTAAAGGAAAAATCTCATTTTAAAAAAGGGGAAATTAAGCACTTTTTAAAAACACCCAATAAAAAAAGCACCTTTAAGGGCTTTTAAAAAATGAAAATGGAAAATATGCACCTTTAAGCACTTTTTAAAAACGCTATGCACCCTGAGATAAATGTTAGATGTACTGTATATTTTATAACTATAGGCTGTAAATTTTAGAAAATTTTTAAAAGCTAAAGTGAATAAAAACTAAATGGAACTTCATGTGAAACTCCCTGGCAATGAAAAATGCTTTACTTATGGTTAAACATTGGTAATAGAGTACTAAATATCCTGAAACCGCACATACAAAACAAATACGTTAAGTAACAATTGAAAAAAATCACTTAAAACCTCATAAAACATTAAGAACAGAAAAGAACAACAAAAGTTAAATGCTAGCTTTGGAATTCAAATAGCTGTCGCTGTTAGCATTTGATTTACTTTGGCTTTTTAGGTTAAACTGCAGATAGCGTCAATCCAGATAGACAAGTTGAAAGTCTTGAGAAAAATAAAAAGACAAAACAAAAGTAAGAAAAAGAGTCAGTGGGACTTGTAGATTTTTATTTTGAACAAAGAAAAAAAAAACTCTATGCAGGAAAAACTCATAGGGAAAAAATTTAAATAAGTTTTAATTAAATTAATTATACTTACCATTATTATTTATAGAAAATATGTTGCAACTTATATCATCACAGAGTTGGTGATAGAGATTAATGTCTAAAAATAAAATGCACACAAATCATCACAAAACTTTAACTAAATTTCACATTAAATTACAAACTAAATCAGAATTGTTTCAAAGATTTAAAAATAATTATCACAAAAATAACTTCTAGAAAATTATATAATGTGATATGTGTGATATGTCCACAGTTATATAATAAAAAAGGGAAGGGTGCTTCCTACCAGAAAAGGGCAATTTGATACTTGAAAGGACCACCCACTTACTACGATTCAAATTTATCAAAATGTGCAATATTATATAACTGAATTCGATCCTCAATTTTTAAACTACTCTCATACTATTTTGTGTATATTTCCCAAATTAACGCTCACTCATTATAAAAATAACAGAAAAATTTCAAGCTTTTGGAAAGTAATTATGCTGGAAAAATTTCAAGCTTTTGGAAAGTAATGGTTGCTTAATGACTGTCATTAAGCAAGCTTAATGACAATCCCTGTATATAAATTTTTTAAAAAAATTTTACTTTAAAATATAGATTTATAAAAAAAAAGTGAACTAAAAAAAGGGATTAATTGATAAACAACTTGAAAGTTCTTTTTTATTTTAAAAATTATGTGAAAATAAACATTTAAAGGTGCATTTTTAAATAAAAAATATGGTAAAATTTAAAATCACAAAAAACTTTTTAATATACTTCTTCTTCTTCTTCATTGGCCTGACAGC